TATATATATATATAATTATATAGCGCTCTATCCCAAACTAGTATCTGAGCGCTTTACACCACAATCACATGATCATTCACACAGGGAAAATATTTCACAGAAACTGTGCCTTTAATCAACGTTTTTCAGAAAAATTAAAACAGATACGAGTTCTTTAATGGACATGAAAGGTGTAGCGCCAAAAAACAAAAATTTGATAAAAATTCACGAACCTGAGGAAAAATGCAAGTTTCTTCACTTTGATTGTGACGAGAGTCTGATACCACCACGCTGCCTCACATATGGATGAGGGGGTCAGATGCAAAACCCGCTAAGCGACATTTTGGAAAAAAGTCAAGATTTTTTGCTTATAAAAATGCACATTGTTACCTGGCTATCAGATGCACAAAGTGTTTTCAGCCAAAACCCAACACATCACATACTTCATAAAAGCAACCCAAAAATCTTTTTTTAACGCATATATATATCCATGTGTATAGCAGCATTAAAAAATAAAAAACCTGATTTTCTCAAAGTGCTCTCTCTCTCTCTCTCTCTTCTGGCGCTGTGGCTTCATAAACGGTCAGCGATGCCGACAGCACGCAGGAACTCAACACTCGCCCGGGGGTCCTTAAAAAGTGCTAAAATGGTTGTAGCAGGTTTGGCGTCTTAGACCCTCATATATTTATTATAAATCAATTATCATTTATCAAAACCAATTCATTTGAATTGACAGAAAGAGACAATAAATTTAATAAAAGTATAATTATAAATACTAGATAAAGTGTAAGAGTCCATAGTGAAAAAAGGGCACTGTTTTTCACCTTCATGGAAAATTTCTGTGTTCAATAAGGACGCATGTTCATAGATTATTCTATTAAAATGTTGCTTAGCGTAAGTGATAAATGCACACACACACAAAAAAACAATCCTCTCCCCCCCCCCCCCCCCCCCCCCAAAAAAAAAAAACAAGTACTGATGATTGATAATCAAAACTAAGATTGGGAGTGTGTAGTGCAACACTCACCTGTTTCAGTTTTTCATTCTCCTTGCCGATATTCAAGTTGTCTCCCCTGGCCTTCACCAATTCCCTGGTAACTTGGTACAGAACCCACTTCCATGTAATCCCCGACGGGAACAGATGCGGCAATGAGCTCTCTAACTCCTTGTTCAGAGAACTGGAAAAGCTGCCATTGTCGGGTCGTAAACCGTTCACGCCTTCAACGCTACCACCACTTGAAAAACCTCCAAAGCTCAGCATGTCAAAGGCTGGTAAGTTGAGAGCGTTAGGAAGCTGCCGGTCAATTAAACTGTCACCTTCCACAACAGAATGAGCTTCTAATTCGCTATTTTTACCTTGCAAAGACGAGAAAGAAGGGTCTGAATTAGTCGTGCGGAGTTCATTTGTCGGACGAGGACACGTGTTGTTAGAGGAGTTTTTGTTGATGATGGAAACCGGGCCCTCGACTTGGCTTTTTCGCTGCGCAGCCGATACCAAATCAATTCCTCCGTTCAGCGGTGAGAAATTGACACGATCACCATCAAAGCTTACCTGGCGAGTCAAGTGTCCTGCTTTTGCCACACGCCTTGTTTGGTGGTCATTACTACAATTAGGCCGAATTGACTGATCGTCAGAGGAGGTGGATTGACTGAAATCACCTCTCTCAACATCCTGAGAGGCAGCCAGTTCCTCAATAGGCTTATCAACAGTGAATACTTCAAGAAGAGAATACTCCCCCCCTTGCCTCATCTCCTCAGTATCACACGCTTTTTCCTTTTCATAATTTGCAAATTGACTTAATGTCGATGGAAAACGATTAATTCGCCAGTGTCTTTTCAGAGCTGGTGTATCAACAAAAGAATCATCAAATGAAAACTCAGAACGACTTGTGATCTCCGGAGGTTCATTTTGTAGACTCGAACAGAAAATTGGCCAGCTCGAGGCTCGTCTCAAACTGGCATGCTCCTGTGGCTGTGAGCCGCTCAAACTGGTGCAAAACCTGGACACCGCTAAAGAAAGTTCAGGCTGTTTTTCTAGAAACCTGGTCAACAGTGGTTTCGCCTCTTGAGGCCAGGAAGGTCCAGCCCCACGTTTGCCGATCTCATTCGACTCTTGTGAGTCGTCCTTGTATATCGTAGGAGACTTGACAAGGCCAGAGTCCGTGCTCACTTCACTTTTGGGGTCAGACTTTTGTTTGAAAAGCCCACCTTTGGGATCAGACGTTGGCTTTAAAAGCCCACCTTTGGGATCAGACGTTGGCTTTAAAAGCCCACATTTGGGGTCAGACTTTTGCTTTAAAAGTACACCACAAACACCACTTTGGCCAACGTAGTCATTGTTTTGGCAGCTGTTGTTGTTTCTGTAAGGTTTACTGCCCGAACTCGGGTTGACGGACCAGTACTGATCCATCTTGATATATATATATATAATAAAAACGTTCACTTCACTTCAGCTGTCTGCACCATCATACAGAAAAAGTTCTTTTACATCATGAGACTGAAGATCTGAAATTCAAAGAAAAGAAAAAAACCTGTTATACAGTTTTATAACTTATTTTATAATTTTAATGGTTATTAGACATTTTCTTTGGTAAATATAGAGGTAATCAAAATAATCATACAGGCATCATGTGAGAAAGTCGAGATGGAGATGACAGGACAGTGGGTGATCGGGAGGTATGAGTGAAGTATAGGACATAATAACTCTCACCCCCAACTCTTCCTGCATTAACTACGATAATCACCGACTGCTGTGCATCAAAAAATCTGTTCAGGTTCAAATATTCATGCAAGTCAGTAAGGCACCTTTTGGTTTTGTCTGAAATACAAATACTTTAGGCATTGCAAAATAAAAATTTCATTTACAATTCAGCCATCAATATTAAGTACGGCTAGCCTGACAGTCTAGCCGTCCTTAAGTACGGCTAGCCTGGCTGTCTACCCGTACTCAAGTATGGCTAGTACAAGATCTTAGGCCCTATTAACATTAGAAAACAGGAGGTTTAAAATACATGCACTGTCATTAAGGCACCTGGTTTTGTCTCAAATACAAACTTTAGGTACTGCAAACTAAAAATTTATATTTACAATTCAATAGGCCTATGGTCAGTCTAGCCATCGGAGTGTCTACGTACACGGTAACCGGGCGCGTAGCCTCAGGGTCTACGTACACGGTAACCGGGCGCGTAGTCTCATGGTCTACGTACACGGGAAGCGGGCACGCAGTCTCATGGTCTACGTACACGGTAACCGGAAGGTTCAAGAGATAGTTCACTCAGCCAAAAAGAGTGTCACTATTACATTGTTTTCCTCACAAGTAGGGTAGATTCTAACTCTGTTCGCAAAGTTCGTGCTTTTTCGAAGAGGGCGCACGAGGGCCAACCGCTCTATAGTCCAGCATGATACCCACTAAATTTCATAACAGAGTGTCTAGTAAGCCTTTACTTTCGCTTTTGTTACCACCCAGAAATTTGTCAGTAATTGTTTGATAACGCAACAATTATTGTAACATGCAGGTTCGGCATTACAAACGTGGTGTCGCCATGAAAGTAAATCAATATTTGTCACTGTGTCGTCACTTATAGGGGCAACATGAAGAAAAGAAAGTTATACAAGCGTCTTATCGGGCTCGCCATTGGGGCCGGTCAATGAACCTGCGCGCGTTCTGAGCGCTGTGAAGTACAGGACTCAGGAATGGGGGAGGGGGGGTGAATTATTGATTTTTTTTTTAAGACGCACTCGGGGATAGGGGGAGGGCTGGACGCAACACCAGTGAACGAAAAAAACCTGAAACTGGAAGCAAATATGTTTAATGTTTAGAATTTTGATAACTACTACAGTTCTCTGCTAAGTAAAGTGTGCATGGGTGCAGGCCTTGTGTGAAAATGGCCTAAATGTTCGCGTTTCATTGGATTGGTGGCAGTATATTATTTTAGCTTTCTGCACAAGATTCGCAGATTTTCAGTATCACTGCATCTTGCCCTCCCACAGTTCTTACACCTCTTACACTGGATAGTTTATCTCCCAAACCCTCAAATTGGTGTGAAATAACCTTGCTTAGATAAATTGATGGTTTTCATTTCAGCATTCTAGGGTTCAACAATATAATAATAATGGGTGTTTCGCGAAAATGGGCTTCTGTGGCGACCACCCGGAAAGTTCCTCCTTTATTATTAGAATACTGAGTTGAGACCCATGTGATTTAAATAAAATGATATTGGTTTTCAAAATGCTATGATGTCACACCCTTTGGTGCAGAAAAGCAAGCATTAGAGTAATTAGACCAAATACTAGCCTTTGGGTGTTGACCATAGCTAAAGATGTACTTTTACGTTTGATTTTGACTGTCTTCTCTAATTTTAATATGTCCTGGGTCATTCATTTTTTATTTGCTCTTTTAGCTTTCATATTGTTTTATCCAATGTGTATGTTGTGTGATTGTGTGCTTAGAGACAGAGAGAATATCGTTGTGAGGCTATGGAGATTTTTGTTTATAATGTAACTACATGTACAAAGTCATAGTCAAGTCTACTTCTGACAAACTCAACCGATATTAAAGCTATCCTCGTATCGTTTTATCCAATGTGTATGTTGTGTGATTTGTGTGTGTGTAACATGCTAAGCATTAAATATATATTTAGAGGCTATTCACACGTGTATATGCATATATGCATGATGTGTGTGTGTTTGTGTGTGTGTCTGTGTGTGTGTGTGTGTGTGTGTGTGTGTGTGTGTGTGTGTGTGTGTGTGTGTGTGTGTGTGTGTGTGTGTGTGTGTGTGTCTCCCTTTCTCTCTCTCCCCCTCCCCCTCTCTCTCTCTCTCTCTCTCTCTCTCTCTCTCTCTCTCTCTCTCTCTCTCTCTCTCTCTCTCTCTCTCTCTCTCTCTCTCTCTCTCTCTCTCTCTCTCTCTCTCTCTCTCTCGTGATAGTATTACATGTTTTGTAAACATTTATATTTTAGCTTTCTGTTCCAGATTCGCAGATTTTCAGTGTCACTTCATTTTGCTCTCCCTTAGGAAAGATGACAGGGGGTAGATAGGGGTTATTTTTGGATTTACATTCAGCTCACAACACACAAAATATGGAGTGAAAAGGGAACCCCGAAACAAAACATGCACCCGGTTACCGTGTTCGTAGATAATGAGAGGCGCCCGGTTGCCGGTTAGCCTACCGTGTACGTAGATATTGAGGCTACGTGCCCGGTTACCGTGTATGTGACATTGAGACTACACGCCCGGTTGCCGGTTACTGTGTACGTAGATATTGAGGCTACGTGCCCGGTTACCGTGTGTGTGACAATGAGACTACACGGTGAAAAAGGAAAAAAGTCAACGTCATGAAGTGATGAAGGGAGCGAAGCAGGTACCGTGCGTGCACCTAGCTCAAGCCCCCTTCCGCACCCCCACCCCCCCCCCCTCACCCCCCCCCCGAAACTAAGTACACGGTTACAGTGTACGTAGATATTGAGGCTACGGGCACGGTTACCGTGTATGCGACATTGAGACTACATGGTGAAAAAGGAAAAATTAATGTCAACGTCAAGAAGAGAGCAAAGCAGTTACCGTGTACCTAGCTGAAGGCTTCCCCCCCCCCCCTCCCTCACGAAACTAAATACCCGCTTACCGTGTTCATAGATAATGAGTGGCACCCTGAGGCTACGTGCCCAGTTACCGTGTAGGAAGTCGCTATTCTCCCCCGGGGTGAGAATAGAAAAATACTATCGACCTCTCACCCCGGGTGAGTCTTGCCACCGTAGGCTATTCTCACCCGGTGTGAAACAAGACCTATTTTTCCTAATTTCGGAATACTTTCTATCGATGTGGATGATCAAATGGATAAAGGCAAAGAAAAGATTACGTTATAGCACAAAAGTAAGCTAATTTTATCAACTACAAAGATGCTATGGCTATTTCACTTCGAATCGAGCCGAACTACGGGGGTCGCCATTTTGTTTTGCCCGGAAGTTCTCGCAAGATCTACTCCTCCCCTCTTCTCTCTCTCTATCTCTTTCTGAATACTGTCTATCGGTGTGGACAATCAAATTGACCAAAACAAAGTTTAAAAAATGATGTTAAAACACAAAAGTAAATTAATTTGGTCGTCTACAAAGATGCTACGGCTATTTAACTTTTCGAATCGAGCCGAACTACGCGGGCCGCCATTTTGTTTTGCCCGGAAGTTCTCGCGCTACTCCTCTCTCTCTCTCCACTGCCCACAGACAAAATTGCACGCTATTAGTATTAGTAGGCTAACAGTAGTAATGGAACGTTTGTTCACGGCACAGAATTCTACAATTTTTCTGTTATCACAGTGTAGAATTCTGTGTTTTAGGGTGAACCCAAAATTGGTTGGCCTAGATCTAGGCTTACGGTGAAAGCGCACCGGGTGAGAATAGCCAAAAGTGGCAAAAGACTCGCCTGCACTATTCTCACCCGGGGTGAGAATAGAGGTAGCCGTGTAGGCCTATGTAGACACTCCGTTAAGAATAAGTACGCTAGCCCTTAAGTACGGCTAGACTGCCAGTCTAGCCATCATTAAGTACGGCTAGCCTCTTCCATCAGTACGCGATATTTCAGTAGGCCTACACAAAAGTCGGGACCACCATATATCCAAGTAGTGCCTCCTAAAAGAGCCTCATCTAGATTCTAGATCTAGATCTAGATCTAGAGAATCTAGTCCCTAGATCTAGATCTAATCTAGATCTCTAGATCTAAATCTAGATCTAGATCTAGATCAAGAATCTACCACAACCACAACTAGGCTGGGCCTACACTCGACACTTTAGCCTAAAGTTAGCCTAGATCTAGAATATCTAGACAGATCTAGATTAGGATACTAGCTCTACCACTACTACCAGAGTTCACAGTCACCGTGTTATCGCACCACCAGGCGTCTAGGCAAGTGAAGCTGTGGACATGGTCCACTCAGCAAAAATAGATTGTTTTTCTTTCATAGCCAACGTTAACCGAAAGTATAACCTCCTAAAACGATAGGGTTGAGGAGGCGACAATCGGTCAGTCTGCATCACACGATCAAGACTCTGCAGTTCCGTGGATCACAGGAGAATTACCAGGAACTCTTCCGAAAATAGAACTTCCGCAGGCCAAGCCCAACCAATGATGAAGCCAACCTGTCAAGTGTCACGTTTACCCACAGTACTCTCCCTTGTGTCTTGAGTCTTGGCCTCTTGGCATGTACAATTCTGTGCTTGGCATTAAAATTTGACATTAAATTCCGGAAAGTACCGGAAACCAGGGAACGCCAGCAAGTCGCTTCCCTTGATTCTTTACCAAGAACTCAAGAACTCAAGAACTAAGAACAAGGCTAGGCTATCTGGCACTGCCAAGGAGGTTTTAATTAATTTAAGCTCCTTGGGCAGTGGCCACTGCTCAAATAGATCGTCAATACCTAGGCCTAGCGTAAAATAAGTTATGAGAAATTTAACGTCAAAGTTTTGAGCTAGGCCTACCCAAAATGTCAACCTTTTTCAAGACTGAATAATCTGACAATTTTGATAGAGCAGATAGATCAAAACTTGGTTTCTGACCTCATAGGCAAGATCTCGATTTATAGTAACGATCGAAACGCACCCCCCCCCCCCCCCCTTTTAAAAATGAAGTCCAGAAAAACTTTGCTAAGATAGCGCAGGACGTTAACAAGAGTCACAACATGCAACAACACAGAAACGACTAACTTTCCTAACTTCTGTTCTTTTTATTTTTACAAACCTTATATTTATAAAGCTTAATGCATCGATCATCCCAAGACTGGTTGAATTTTCAATTATAAAACATAATAATATATTGACACGAACTTTGAATGAAGTAGGCTTTGTCAGTTGGAGTGTGGTTTAGAGCAATGTTAACTTTAAAAACATATATTCAAGGTGTATATTATGCTGCAAATCCCTTTTATTCTATTAGCACGTTTGATTAGGCTAACATCAAAGAAAACGTTTACCAGGTTGTATTGGAACCATATAGAGGCCTATATAATTATTTGGTTGCTTTTAAGGAAAAGCGGGCTAACCCAGATTTCGGGGGTTCTAGAAATCTTTACCTCCACCAAAAGTGGACATTGTCCTACCTTTAGGAGTAAGAGAAGTTTGGTTTCAATAGTGTGTATTTGTTTGGTTATAGAAAAAACTCTCCTTGCCTTTTAAAGAAACTAAACAAGGGGCAAAAACTTTACTTCGATTTTCTCAAAACAGCATTTTTCGGGCCATGGGCTTAATTTGACCCAGTATGCAAAGATCAGAGAAGATTAAACAGAGCGATTTAATTTTACCCTTTTTAACACCATACAGACAAAGCTATATATATATTCATAGGCCTATATTTAGCAAAGCTATCTCGTAACCTATTAGATTTATATAGCTTCCTGAGAGATGACAGCAAAGATTCTCCACTATCTTTGATGACACGTCATCACGTATCATCTATCAGTGTCATGGGGTCGAAAGTAGGTCAGAAGCCTTCATCGGATGTTGAGGAAATAGGGGGGACCGCTACAGCTGAAGGCTATCTCGCTTATTACTGGAGCGAATTTTACCACATTTCACACATATAACAAGCATAGTAAGGAGTCTTAAAATCCGCAATCAAATTTGAGAAAAAAAAATTCGTTTCCATGTCGTTTACGGCGGCCATATTGGATTTTGATGACATGTCTTACGTAATGAATACCGCATTTATCGCTCCTGGAAATTGATTGGGTTTTTTTTGTGTGTTTTTTTTTTTTTGCATGCGTGTTAACAAACATTAGATCTAAAAATTTGTCTGTTGTTTTTTTCCTAAACAAATTAGAAAATTTTTTAGGAATTTTTTTCCCGAGGTAGCATTCAAGTTTGCAAAAAATACGTAAAAATCCACACTCCAGACACCACCAACAAAAATGTATTCCATATATCAAAACTTCAACAGACAAATTAAAAAATGTTAGTATTACATCTTCTCTTCATTCTGTGAAAATTTCATGAAGATTGGATGAAAAATGACGGAGTTATTCAAAAAAGTATAGAGAAAAG